ACGATTGATAAAATATTGAACTCAACGGAATTAACTCGTCGTTCTATTGGATTTAGAATATCAATTCTTTAGTTTCGGACACGTGCATTTATACTTATATTCTTGAGCATAGAAAAAAATCTTGTTACATCGATCAATTTCACCCAATCAACTTTACCATATGTAAACACTTGCCGCGCAGGAATTCCACATGAAAATATAAATTTTCGAAAAATGCATGCATCCGCGGTTCGTTAATAAATGAAAGTCTCCTTGTCTTGAATTTAAAATTTAACTACGTTTTCGGATGTCAAGAGAATGTAATTCGGATTGTAATAGCGATAAAAGCAACTTCTACGATATTTACGAGCTGCTGATTTGCAATACGCTGACTATTGATTTTTCTTGTCTTTCTTTAGAATCGAAACCCACTTAAGGAAGGTAAAAGCAGCCGGCGTTAGTATATGGCACCAGTTACCGGCAAGTTTTTCCCAAGTTTTTGGCAAGTTTTTGGCAAGTTTTTGGTAAAGTTCTGAGGAAATGAAGGGGCCGAATGAGCGCGCCACTGGGCCTCATCTTTAACTTCCTTACAAAGTAAAGTCGATAAACGTCGATATGAAAATCCGAGGCCTCAAGGCAAAGGACGAAAATCAATGTTTCCCTCCTCCCGTCGGTTGCTTGTCAGTCACGATTTCGCTTCAACATCGCCCCCGTCGTCATCATCTTCGGCTTTCGCTAGCAGGTCCGGTTATTACACAGTCTTTACTGTCTCGTCATTGGTGTGCGCTTGAATTCTTAAAATAATGTACGCGCGCCGCTTCGAGGAAATATAGGTGCCTCCGGATCATTGGCCTCCGCAACTCTCCGTATATGAGTGAACGCACGGAGACGAGCGAGAGAGATAGATGGATGGAGATTTAGACAGAGAGACAGAGACAGACAGACAGACATACAGACTGGCAGACAGCCAGACAAACAGACAGACAAAGAGACAGAGGCAGAGAGAGTCAGAGAGAGAGAGAGAGAGAGAGAGTGAGTGAAAGGAGGAGGAGGAGGAGGAGGAGACAGACAGACAGACAGACAGACAGACAGACAGACAGGCAGGCAGGCAAGCAGGCAGACAGATAGACAGACAGACCGATATGCAAACCGACAGGCAGATAGATAGACAGATAGACAGACAGTGTGAGTGAGGCATATAGTAAGATCGTAGTGTATGGCTATTTCTGAAGTTATTTCGCGGCTCTGCAGTTACCCAAAATACACATGTGCGCTCGTATTGTAGCGTGTCTCCATGAACATGCATACTCTTTCTCTCATACCCTCCAGCTCTCCCACTTCTACTTGCTCCTTCCTATTCTCTATCAATTTATCTATTTCTCTCTTACGTACGCCCTCTCCTCGATCTCTCTCTCTCTCTCTCTCTCTCTCTCTCTCTCTCTCTCTGTGACTCTATCTCTAGCCGTATATCCATCGTACTCGATTTCTCATATTCATCTCACTCTATTTCTCTGCTCAACTTCAGGAATTGGTGGAAATTCGAGTTCTAGCATACGACCGAAACGCTGTTGAACGATTTCCCTTCACAACAAGGCAACACAGAAAGAGAGATCGAGGGTGCACGAGCAGCGACAAGGAGAGAAATCGAGCATATACTTCTTGCTTGCTTTTCCATCTGTATACACGACTCGTGTCGCACACTGGCGTGTACATACACATGCATGTATCGAGTGGAAGGACGTGAAGGAAAAAAAGAGGAATAGGGAGTGAGCGAGAGAAAGAGAGGAAAGTGAGACATTGAAAGATAGCGGGAGGAAGCGGGAAGTGGAAAGGCAAGTAGCGAACAGAGGGGTTGATATGTATTTATAGCCAACCCCAAATAAAGCCGTCTGTACTCTCGCTCTCTTTCCTCTTTCTCTCTCTCTATCTAACTCTATCTCGCCTACTCCATCTCTCTCCAGACTTGATTCTCGATGAAATCGTACGCAGAGGGTGAACGCAACTAGACTCCCCACTTTGTCCTTTTCTCTCTCGAATCTTCGCCGGTGTTTGGAATTTTCTATGATTAGAACGAGTATTTTCACATGATCTCTCCCTTGTCTTACTTATTCACTCTCTCACTCTCTCTCTCTCTCTCTCTCTCTCTCTGTCTCTTTCTCTCTTCCTCTCTCAAGCGGGCGCACACACACACATACTTATTTACTTACACGCTCAGCCTCACTCATCGGGCTGTTTGCGACTCATTTCTCTCCTGTTCTCTCTTTTTTTTATAAGCGCGCTCGTGCGCACACGTGTGTGTCTGTCTGTGTCTCTCTCTCTCTCTCTCTCTCTCTCTCTCTCTCTCTCTCTCTCTCTCTGTGTGTGTGCTCGTGTATATATATGTATATATTAAATACGAGACACCGTGCTTCCTTCTGAGTCGACGATGCTTACAATGTTCCATAACGTCTCTTTGTGTGTTTGGGAGAATAAAACAGAGTGAGAGGCGTAAAGATATAATTGTACCGTTGATTAAACACTTTGTAAAAATAAGCCTTGCCTGCGCATAAATCATTGTCGCGCTGTCTATAATTGGTTCGTTCGCGTTGAGATATTTTTTCAAGGTGAAATCTTTTGTTTTTCATTACTATTCTCCTTGGTATCTTGTCTCTCACTCTCTCTCACTCTCTCTCTCTCTCTCTCTCTCTCTCTGTCTCTTTCCTTTATATTCTTTAGATAGGCCATGTAGTTTTCGTGATGAGTGAATCACTAGTTGAGATTAGACTAACTATGCAAAGAATTCAGAATATCCATCGTATTTTGTTGAACGTTGACGCTATACATTTTGATTTCGCTTATCTATGACGTTTATGCTTTTTCAAGTAGCTGCTTTTAATAGAACGTTTGCTAGGCTTAAGCACAAGTTGGCCTAAAAGAGTCGCTTTATATTTCTTTGTTGCGCTTTATCTTTCTAAATTCTATTATGCTTTTAAAGTAACGTCGTGGCGTACATTGACGACAAGTCCCATACGACGTAAGGAATAAATAACGATAACTTGGTCTCAAAATTTATTTGCATTTAATTATTAATATGATAATGCATAATAATTGAATCGTAGTCATGTTTCAGGATTTATGTAAGTTATAAAGTGATTTATAAATAATTGCGCGTGAAATTTTCATTAAACATTGGAGACAAAAATTATCACAATAGTAAAGATTGGACGTAGTTTTTACTAAAGTTAATTAAGTTTAAAGACCGAGCTGATAAATCCGTGGAAATTATAAAATTATTTGTTGCCAAAATAAAGTATAAGTATGTCACAACAAAAGCGTAGAGCCGAGCACCGAGCGATTTACAACAATTCAAAAGTGTCAAAATAGATTACATCGACATGCAAATAATTATACAAAGAAATCTATTCAATAATTTTTCAGCAAGTTACTTTAAATATTTCTCGATAACGCGCTTTCTTTTTTTTTAAATTATCAGCAAGAACAAAGAAGTGAGGGAGAAATTGGTTGATAAGGAACCCAAACGTTGGGAAATCAATGCGCAACATAAATCTCGTCAGGCTTCATTCGTTACGTTACTTGTAAAGCAAATTAATTTTTTTTTTTTTTTTTTTTTTTTTTTTTTTTTTTTTTTTTTTTTATAATTTATAGAATTAGCTGAAGTAGAAGTAAAAATAAGGAGAAGCAAAACCAGGGAGAATAGATTTAGAATTTCACGTTATCGGTGCTGCGCTTTTTTTTCTTTTTTTTTTTTTTCGCCTAGTGATTTAGTTCCAGTTTTACTGACACGAAATATTATATGTGAATCGAGATAGCATTTTACCTTGTTTTTAAGAAGTGAAATTTGTGAATTTCAGCTGGATCCGAAACGCAATTAAATTATCGAGACATTATTTATGACCCTGTTCTATTTAATAAAGAACATTGGGAGGCAGCGAATCCTGATGCAAACACGCACAGAGGCAGAAGTCAAGTTCGCGCTGGAAAATAGAAAAATTTAAGCGAGACGCGGGAGGACGCCCTTATTACCTCCTTTCCCCCCCCCCTTCCCTTCAATCAACCGCACGAACGTTGGCTTTACGAAGTAGCGACGAGCATGGCTTGGACGATTTGAAGCCTTCCAATCGTTTGGCTGCACTTATAATAATAATAATAATAATAATAATAATAATAATATCTGTCCCAAATATAAAGCGTCCGGAATTTGGGTGGGCTGAGGCAGCGGACAAAGGCGAGGCTCGAAAAAAAGAAGAAAAAGCCGATATCGCGCGACTCGGTATAATCTATCAGAAAGTATCGAAGCCCGCGCCTTCCGTATACTATTTATGTAGATCCCCGGCAAACGGGGTCAAACGCTATCTTTATTCGCACATGTATTTCGTGGCGGCGCGCGATGGGTGTAAAAGCAAACTTCCAATGTAAATTAAAAAGGCGAGCTCGAAGTGGGCAGATGTAGTGGTAATAGGCTGTCGTTGTGGATAATAATTGCCGGTGTAGAAGGGACGAAGTTCTCGTGAACGTGCCAGGATCTCATTTCCCAAGGAATCGGACCGCGACTAAAAATCGAATCCTTTGTCTCATCGGCGCTTACGCGTACGCACTCGCGTGTCAGCAGTCCCCCTCGACATAGGCTGTGAGCGAGAGAGCGAGGTAGCAAGAGTGAGCGAGCGCACGTGCGAGCGAGTGAGAAGAAAGAGATCGGGAGCTGGCATCGTCATGCATCGGTCACATTCGTGAAAATGCCTTGAATAAATAATTCGGCGTGCTGCTCTCAGTGTAGGGAGCGCGAGATTGTGACAGAGAGAATGTGTCTGCCCGCGCGCGCGCGCGCGTGTGTGTGTGTGTGTGTGTCTGTGTGTCTGTGAACGCGCGCGAGGGTGGAGGACGACGGCGTAGAGGAGGGTGGTGACGGAAGGGGCGGGGAGGGACGAGGACGAGGACGGGAGGGAGATAGGGAGAGCCTTGACGAAGGAATGCATTGGCGCGGGTGGGGTAGGGCAGATGGGGGAGGGGCGCACACACGCCAT